CTAAACATTTTGAAACTTTTTCTGCTGACCAATAGCACTGGCTCACAAAAGGTTTAAACTGATGTTCTGGTTATCAGAGCACTTTGCTCTCCCCCAACCCCTTATTGTCCTTTCCTTCTGCCTATGGTCAAAAACACTGGAGATCTGGAAAAAACAGCCTCTTAAACTGTAAGTTGTAGCACAACTACACAAGCAGGAACACACCTTGTCCTCTTTCTTGAGGAGGGGCCAGGACAGTAACTTGCTGATCAGGATATTCTTCTGTTTTTTATTAGTTCCAGCAAATCTAAAATCTGCCCAACAGCTTAAAAAATACAGGGGAATAAGGTTCTTTGAATATACTCAAGCATCATTTACAATGAAAAAGCCTTACCAATTTTCCCTTCTCAAGTTTCTGGCACTCCGGTAACTACATGCACAGATTCTGGGTTTTTGGACCCAAACACTGCATTTGAGCTCACTGTATTGTTTCGTTCCTCCAGCAAAGATTTTGATAGGCAGATTTTACTGTCTGAAATGCTTTTGAACTCCTTGCCACTTAATAACCCAGATAATAGACAAGAACAGATAAGCTAACACTTAACTAATGTGTCACAGGGACCTCCAGTGTTCTATCAATTACAATGGAAAGCTAACTTCTAGAATCCAAACACCATAAAAAAAATAACTCTCTGGCAGACTGCCAAGAAAGAATAGCAGCTGGAAACTGATCGTGTCAAAACATATCCAGGCAACATGTGGACTGTGTAGGTCACAGTCTCAAGCCAATATGAATCTTCTTTCAGATGTATCGGGGTCTATGTAATACGCGCGCCCTATCGCGATGTCATTCATGCAAGAGATATCTACCAATGGCTATTAACCATGGTAATTGCTATACGTCTAAATGCTAATTGCTGGGGAAATTCAGAAACAAAAGACTGTACTTTTCATGCCATTTACAAGCACCCAAAGACATCTGGATTTCCACTGCCTGAAACAGAATGCCAAGCTAGATGACCTCTGATCCAAATAACCACAACTTTTCTTATGTTCTTCTTAGTGCTACATGTATGACACTAATACTGTCAGCTTCAATACAGCTAAAGCAATGACATTATTCTTGTTTTATGATATGCTTTTGGATAATGAAAAATACAAAGCATAAAATCAGTAAGAATTTGATTTTCCTCAGTAAGGTTGCTTTCAAGACCTGAAGTCAGACCTTGCCTTCTTTGCCTGCTTGGAAAGCCAGCTAATGTATGCTGCCGCGTTCGCAAACCTAATGGAGATTAACATAGTAGTTAAAGAGCAGAAAAAGTGGAGCGCATCTTCTCTGGGATTTTCAAAAAATACAGTACCACAAAATAAAGCTGCTGGCATTCATCAAAAGTGCTAGGAGAGTCACAAAAATGTTTCTCTAAATAAATCAAGCTAGGTAGAGGAGAGCTAAATTGTTGCAGATGGAACAGAAATCCAGTTGCCACATTAAAAAATTATATACAATGCATGATAACAAATATTTGTTTCTCCCCCACCACCCGCTTCTTTTTTTAAATACATATTGCTTGATGGGTCTTCCTTTATGAACACTACTAAATCCATGTGATAGCAGAGAAATAATGAAAACAAAACAACCAACAGCCATTTAATAAGGATAAAATGATTGTATAAATATTAATACAACCATGTCTTTTTTTAAAAAAAAATAATTCATTTAAAATTAAAATTCAACCTGGCTGTAAATCAATCATAATTGTTCTTTGTTGCAGGTTATTTTGCTTTTTGCATTATGCATATGTTACTTTTTATTAAAAAAAGAAAAAGAAATGAGACAGCTCTCCCACCCCACCCCGTTCTGTCCTTCCTTCTGTAACAACACAGCTCCAGGACATTTTTGCTATTAAAAAAAAAAACAACTTAAGAAGAAATGCATTCCTCATGGGGGTAACTCAGGCTTACGTCTTCTTTAAAATCACATCTGCATCTGTGTGCGCCTGCCTGTATGGGGCATGTGTATGCATCCAACAATGGCATACACCCTGGCTGTACCAAAATTGACCTTAACACAGCTGAAATTGAGCAAACATGAAAGAGAGCAGAAGAAAAAGCTCTGAATAAAATCAAGGTGAGGGAGAAAGTCTAGCTGAGACCTTCCTCTTCTCCCCCCCTCCCTGTCCTCCCGCTGGAGCTGAGATCTGATCTCTGAAGTAAGGGCAGGCAGGCAGTACTGATTTCCCAGCCCCTGCCTTGGCACTGCCTCCCTGTCAGAAAGGGACTGGAGAGAACATTCCTTCGTGCATATTTCAAACTCTGCTAACCAGATCAGAGCCCTGACAGCCTCTTCCTGCTGTCCAGTGTTGATACCCTGGAGTACCTTCCTGGATATACATAGGCATTTTCCCAGCAAACAAGTACAGGCAGGCTTGCCTTTCCCTCAACAGAAGGCTCCTATATTGAAGGAGCCAATTTCATTTGCGGTATTTCAGCACCTTTGAGAATTTGAGCAGTTTTCCGCTGCTCTTTCTTTTTCAAAATTTTAAAACACTAACCTTTTAGAAGAATTAACTTTGAGTATGTTTTATGCCATAGGGGTTTTTAGACTATCCTTCCAATTGTCTGATCACTGTTTTCTTCTCCCTAGGAATCATTCCATGCCATCGTGCTGCCAAATGCAATGACACATTGCTCACTTGGCTACACGTGAACCTATGATTTTGTTCACAAAGAACACCAAACTATATATTAATGTTAAAAGGATATGCAGAAGGGAGGTCTTGGCCAGACTGTGTGGACAGCCAGGACTACTTTATAATATCTATCCTTGCTGTGCCCCCTTCCCTTCTCCTCCTGCAAATCTTCTCATTCATTTATTACCATCATCTCTGTCACCAGTCTACTTGTAGTCTCTATTTTCCTCCTCTTGCAATATCCCGCCCCCCCAATGAAATCTTTAGATGGCCTTGTACTTTTACCTAGTCCTACTCCTTCATTCCCTGACAGCACTGGGGATACTAGCAGACGGTACCCGTGTGTGAAATCTTCAGCAGATGCTATAGCTTGTGGCCACTTTGCCATATTTGCTGCAGTTGTCAGCAAGGGCATAATGCCAATGAGCCTCAACAGCCTTTTCCCCTTACTTTGGATTTAGGCTTAACAAAGCTGCTAGTTAGACACATTTCTCCATTTCTCAGTTATCACACTGTTTTGCAAGGATACTGATCTGGAACAGTGGTTCCCAAGGGTGGGCTCCCAGTACAAAGCTGCTAGTTAGACACATTTCTCCATTTCTTGGTTATCACATTGTTTTGCAAGGATTACTGATCTGGAGCAGTGGTTCCCAAGGGTGGGTTCCCAGTTGTTCTTGGACTACAATTCCCAGAAATCCTTCCCAGATCAGCTAGAGCTGAAGGCTTTGGGGAGTTTTAGTCCAAGAATATTTAGGGACTCAAGGTTGGGAACTACTGGTCTAGAGGTCACCGAGAGCAAAGCAACCATGATGGTGAGGGAACCCGACACCACATCCTGTGATGAAATGATTAAATGAACCAGCACACTGCCTAAAACAGAGAAGACTATAAAAGAAAAAAAAAGTAAAGGCTGTTTTCAAATTCCAGAAAGATTATCACCTTCTCTTCTCTATAAATCCAGAAGTCAAGACTAGAACTAATGGGAGAAGAACCAGAGTCTGGCTTAACATGATGTGAAAGTTTTTAAGGGTAAGAAGAGTTCATCAGAAAATAAATGAAACAAACGAATAAATCTGCCTCTTTCTGGAAGTGGTAGACTCTCCTTTCCTGCTACAAAGTTTATATATTGGGAGATCTGTAACTTTGATTCTAATAGTTTTCTAATCTGTAACACATGTTATTATTTTAAAATTCAATCTGTATCAATCCGATTTTGAATGTGGCAGATACCACATCTATGGGCGCTGTTAAAGCTATACTGGAATATATCCTTGTAACAGATGCACTGGTATCAAGCTGTGTTGCCAATTGGAAACTCACACCTGCACAGGGAGCATAGGAAGCTGCCATATCCCTGGCGAAACTCTTTTGTCCACCTGGGGGCATTGTCTATTCTGAGTGGCAGCTGATCTCTAGGGTCACAGACAGAGATGTTATATGATCCTTTCAGCCACTGTTATCTATCTTTTTTAAAGCTGTCAGCAAACATAGATAAGACTTCTGCAGGCCAAACTCTGCTTACTTCTCTGATTGATCAAATATATACACAAGTTAAATACATAGCAAGGCATGTACAGTGGTGACTCGCTTAATGATTACCTCGTTAAACGACGAAAACGCTTTACGATGAAGTTCTTGCGATCACTATTGTGATCGTAAAACAATGTTCCTATGGGGGAAATTGCTTAAGGATGATCAGTTCCCTGCTTCGGGAACTGATTTTTCGCCAGACGACGATTTTAAAACAGCTGATCGGTGGCCCTAAAATGGCCACCCGCTGTGCAAAATGGCTCCCCGCTGTGCTTTAGGATGGATTCCTCACTTTACAGGCACCGGAAAATGGCCACCCTATGGAGGATCTTCACAAAACGAGCAGGTACTTCGCCCATTGGAACGGACTGAACCGGTTTTCAATGTATTTCAATGGGTTTTTAATTTCGCTTGACGAGGATTACGCTTAACAGCGATTTGAATGGAACGAATTATCCTTGTCAAGGGAGGCACCACTGTAGTACTAACACAGTTTTGCTCTTGACTAAACACATTAGTTAAGCCAGTAGTTGAGGAACACATGATGTGACTTCTGATACACAAATGATTACTTAGCAAAATTAAAGCAAAATCTAACCACAAATAAGAGTCTTTCTCTCTTTAATATAAATATTCTAGCATGCTAGTCACCAAATAACACCCTTTCTATTTAACAAAGTCTGGCCCTCTATGTATTTGTGTGCCATCCCCTGGTTTGAGTCTGCCTGCCACACATTATTCACAGCCTTTTCCCAAATAAGCTCAGAAACCTTGGGGAGGTGGGTGTTTTATGTCACTTACGATTGATGAACACTACAGTTGTAAAAGACAAAATCCACGGCTGCAAACTTCTTCCCTGTTTCCTTAGATTTGAGGTAGAGCTTTACCACTCGCTTATCGCCTAGAACAGAAGAAAGCAAGCACATAAATCATGCGTGGAGTACAGACCAGCTTTGTGTGAGCATCTGAGAAAACAGAATGCATGGTTTGGCCACATACGAATGAGCAAAGCCCTGCAGTGGCTTTGACCGAACTGAGAGACAGTCCCAGTGAATCCAAATGAGCTGAAAAAAGCAGCAGCTGACAAAAGACACATGCAGTGGTCTACCCAGTTGGACTTCTGAATGGCCAGAAAGATTCAGTGGGTCTGTCCTAGTGTAAAACTAAAGCGTGTGAGTTTACAACTGATTTTTTAAAAAGATAATTCACCACTAAAGATAAGGGAGGAGCCTATACCAAATACTATTCTATGGCACAACCACATTAAGAAGGCTCCTATGGAAGTAACTGTTAAATAAATGTCAGACTGAGGACATAATAGACAGGGAGACAGAAGATGTGAGGCAATTATGCATCGATGTGAGCTTAGCACAAGTAAAACACTAGACCTGTCTTCTGTTACTCTACCCAATAATAGTGAGGAGCTGATCTTCCCATTTACACTATTGATGCACTCATCTTAATTCCTCAGCTTCTTTCTTCATACCTTACCGAAATTCTCTAAGTAACATTCCTCTCTTAAAGTGACCACCATGTTGCATCTTCTGATACGAAAGACATACAGTTTGGATTTTGACCTTCCCAGTGTCAGAAAGACACTAAGCATCTGAGCTCAGCACAGGGCAGGCTGACAGGACACAGAAGGGCTAGAGGGCCAGCCTTCTGTGGAGTGGACAAGAGCAAAATAGCTTTGAATCCTGAAATATTTTCACAAATGAGAAAGAATAGTGTTACTACTGCTGATCCCACCATGCTGTAGCGAGTGTGGTTGTCCCTTCACTTCAAGATCTCTCAGGTTCTATGAATAATAATGATAATAATAATGTGCCACCAAGCTGATTCTGACATGGCGACCCTTTCCAGAATGTTGCAGATACAAAATACTCAGAAGTAGTTTAGCATACCCTTCTTCTGTGGGCACCCTGGAGCTATGCATCTTGTCCAGGACCACATCAGCTATCTCCTCTGCTGCAAGGCAGAGTGGGGAATTGAACTACCACTCCTGACTCCACAGTCAAATTTTCCACTGTGCAATCCAGCCAGTTTCTCAAAGTCTGCTATAGTTCTAGAAACACCAACGCATGAAAACATACAACCTAATACAATACAATCACTCAGCAGTTCTCCCTAAGCAACACAGGACATGAATATTCCCCCCAAATCAGATACAAGTCTGGCACAAACCACTTTCCTACAGCATCTGAGAAGCAGCAAACTGCTTGTAAAATAAACTGGATAACTCATAGTATCTTATATCAAGACAATAAATGAACTGTGCCAGACTAGGCCAGCTATACTTTCAACTATCTCTCAGATATTTGTTTGGAAATCCGGATCCCCTGAAGTTTGTAATGAAAATGCCACAGCACAGAATGTTTGTTCAGGAGCCAGTTGATGCAGTCTGACAAAAGCTGCAAACTCACCTCGCCCTCTAGTAATAGGGATCACATCTCTTGCAGATGGAGAACTACAATATATTCTCCCATCTTCAATACGACTTTCAGATTCTGTAAAATCCTCAAATGAGCAATTCACACCAGCAGAAAGATCAGGGACATTCCAGGCCTGCAGAACGAGCTGAGATATTAAAAATAAATAAATAAATAAATCAGCAAGTATCTGTTGAGGGATCCAGTGAGACAAACAATCAAATACAGTAAAATCCGCACACTGCATTCTGCCTACCCATCCCTGATGGCTCCTTAATATTTCATCAAGATAAAAAGTTTTATAGTGGAAAACATGAGGTCTATGAAGGATTCCATGCAAATCGACCTACCGGGACTTCTGACATTGTGACCGATATGTTCTTGGGCTGGACGGTGAGCTGAACACACTGTCGTAGATCTGATGCAAAACGCTGAAGCTCATCTGCTCGTTCACACCGGTCCTTCCGCGAGCAGCTGCAGGAAAGCAGAAAACAACATCCATTCAGGTTGTGAAAAACTTTGAATATGAACAAGCAAAGACATTTTTCTTATATTGCAACATTCAGCAGGAAAAATCTGCAAAGAATTCTTGCTGTTCCTTTGCTTCCCTCTGTGATTTAGCGATAAATTGATTTATTTCTGCCTCACCAGTTGGTATGAAAATGGACTTCAAGGGGAAGTTACTTCATTTCAAAAATAATGAAATGGACATTCGTTTAAAGCAAAAGAAAAGCATTATGTATTGAACTCTGAAACACAAATATCTTCACTATCCTCCTACAATCCTTTCTACACAAGGTTATGTGCTGTCATCATACCTCACCTCTTCCAGGTTTCTGAAGGCCAACTCAGAAGGGTGTGTGTGTAGAGTTCTGCCAACCTACAGAAAGACATTTCCCTTTCACAGTTTAGAAAATATAAGCATCTCAGTTTAAGCATCTTTCTCTGTATTATCTCCTGATATCAAAGGAAGCTCTAAAACTTGGGGGAGGGGGGGAAATGCCTGTTTAACTGCAGACCAGTACAGCTGGTCAGCAGTCAATAGCTGTAAGTGTATATCTGAAAAATAAAAATGGGTATCTTTAGGCTGCTTTATATTTTATGCACCATGAAAATTAATTCTCAGTGTTGAGAGGGCATGGTAGCATTTTTACAGCAGTCAGTAGGGCTTACTACTTAATAAGTGTTCTTAAGGTCACAAAATTTCCTTTGCTGTCACAGCAAACTATTACCCAAATCAAAGCAGGATGGCATATAAGCCCCCTGAGCAGGATGCTCATTTGAATGAGGCTACAGACTGAGAACAATTGTTCACATTATACAGTTTGTTATGTGACTTATACAATTCTGATTCAACCTATATTTATTTCACATTGTGTTTATGGCAATGGCCAAAGAAGGTTGAGAATGGCTTATCCAGATAATGAAGTTTATTAAATAAATAAATATTCAAGTTTGCACATTAGTGAAATTAAATTTCATTTGAAAGGTCATGCCTTACTCTTTTGGCCTCTGAAGACTTTGATTTCTTTTGTAAAATTAAGCAATGCTCTTTTTCTCTGCAAACCAGGTTTTTATTACAGCCTTGTGGTACAATGGTTAAACTGCTGAACTGCAGCCAAAACTGTGCTCATGACCCAGGGTTCAATCCCAGGTAGTCAGTCAGCTCAAGGTGGACTCAACCTTCTATCCTTCCAAGGTCGGTAACATGACTACCCAGCTTGATGAGGTTGGGTGGGGTAATGTGTAGCCTGCATAATTAACTTGTAAACCACCCAGAGAGTGCTTTAAGCGCTATGGGGTGGTATATAAGCAGCACTGCTTTTTATTTTTTGATTAAACTTAAAACAATTATCCCTACTTGTAGTTTTCCTAACAACTTAAAATACTGATATCATTGGTCTAGTTTGGAATAATTTATACTAAATCATGACTTTGATTTAGGTACCATTGTTTTGGGATACCTCTTCCATCTATGTCCAGCAATTACATTCTGTGTTGATTATTTCATCCATTTGGTAACACAATTCATTACATTTAAGAATGATAGAATCTGAGATTTTTTTCTACTTACAGTAGTGCAATAACCCTATAAGATAAGTCAAAGAATCACTAAATTGGAAAAGACCTCAGAAGATATCTGCTTTAAACCTGTCAAAGCAAGAAGAAATCTGGAGATGCTCCATGGATAGAGAAGAACTCTTCCGATTGAACTCTATACAATCAGAGAGTCAGTACAGATGAGCATCCGTCTTCCCTCTGCTCCACTTAAGTCTCTCTGTAGAGTTTCAGAGAAGGATCCGCTGCCAACATTTTGCACCACCCATATGTTCTGCCTAATAGCTACTTTGTCTTAACTGTCACCGCAGCATCATGTTGATCTGCTCTGTCATGTATACGTAACAACCATTCAAAGATTGGCAGGTGGCAACCCAAAGACCTGTTAATTATTTATTTTCTAGCCTAAATACAACTCCTTCAACTTTCCTGCTTTAGCCTTGGTCTCTAGACTCCTCATAATATTTGTAACCCAAGTGCCATGGCCCATGGGAGTGAGAATGAGGCTAAGAAGCAGAGCTTAGACTGAGAAATTCCTGTTTTATAGCTCGGACCTGCTACACCAGTGATGCAAACAGGTCCTTTGGCATTTGTTTATCTGAACGAAACCCTTTTTCAAATCAATGGCCCAAATCCTGTTGCTTGGTGTAGTAATCACACTGCTGTAAGCCCATTGAATCAAGGGGAATTTAGTGAGTCAACGCCTCTATAAGTTCCATTGAGTCAAACACGCCTATTATGTCACAGTAAGTCACAGCTAGAGTAGACTTATGGAGAAATGGATGGATTTATGGAGAAAAGGATGGACTACCAACCCGGCATTGACTCAATGGCTCAACTCTAGTGCAACTTACTATGCCAAGCAACAAGGGTGACTATACTAAGCTAGTGTGCTGCAACAGCAAGCGTCATGATGTATCCACCAATGCACTATATCCCTGGCTCTTCTTCTCCTTTCTTAAACAAAATGCTGCTTCACTTTCCCTTTTGCACTATGGGCTCATATTAGAGTAATTTGTTCTCCAGATCCTTCACAAGCAGCTCTAGATATCGGCAGGCATGTCACTAGGGCAGTCATCCCTCATCCCCTGAGTACTCTTCTACCCAGGTTGCAGCCTGTATTTAATGAGTTTCCTTTGCTTCCCCACTCTGCGTCCGCGATAACATTATTTCATTACATAAAGCATTTTAATTAAGCAGAGGGCAATATAGAAAAGCAGATACACATGCACCTCTCAAGGTCCCAGTAATCTTAGCGATTTATCTCTTGAGCAAGTGCCAGTTTGACATCGTGCTGGGGAGTTCCTGAGCCACCCTTGCATCCTTCCCATCTTCCCTAATATGCTGCAGGGAAAGAGATGTCTTTGAGTTTAATTAAAATGCTCCACATGGTTAAGCAGTCGGGGCTTTGCAGATTCTAAGAGTTTTCCCTCCTAAACCCAAGGGAAGCTCCCCTCCCCTTTTTTGTTGACATTTCATTTCTTGCCTTTTATGCTGCCATTCTGTTCCCATATGGGAGTCTAGTTGCTGGATTATAGGCTGGATTAAATTGCTAGCAGGAAATTAAACAGTGGATGCACAGGATGTTCAGAAAAGAGCCCTACATGGAGCACAATATTTAGAGAGTTCCCCGTATTATTTCATTGATGTTTAGACAGGATCATTCCTTGTATTTCATCCATAGGGTCCCTTCCAGCTCTGCAATTCTAAGATAATGATGTTTAAGATAATGATGTTCATTCCCACAGATACTGCCAGTTTGCCAGATGCTCCTGGACTGACAGCTCCAAAGAACAACAGCCTCTGTTGCATACCAGATCACAGTCACTGTCAAAAGGAATAACCTCTAGAGACCCTAACTTCTCCCCCATTGCAACTTGCAAGAAGCAGTATAGCATCTATAGATAGGTGCTGTCAACCATCGTAACTGGAAACTTTTGATCACCAAAAAAGCTTGGCATTTTTACCATGAGGTGGGACTTCAATTAAAGGAGATTTAAATAAGTTCGCTCTGAACTACAAGCAAGACAAAGATAAGATGCTCTCACCTCCAAGGGCTGATAGACCCTAATGAAACTGCATTAGTGTTCTTATCTTTCCACCACCTCCCCCATTTTGCAGCATTCTGTGAGTTCAGGATAACTCATAGCTAGTTTTAAAAAATCACTGCTAAGATACTAGTCTCCAAAAATATACAAGGCAAGCGGCCCCAGAGCTGTGAGTGTCTCTTTTGGCACCATGGTTTGTGCTGATATGTACTGTGAAGGAAGTGACTGCTGTCACTTTTCAGGACAGGATAGGAGGCCACTGTTTTAATCCTCAGCCACTTACAAATCCAACGCGAAGAACAAATGGCAGCCCAGAGCAGGTCATCACCAATCCGCTCTGCGGCACATAACATGGACCGCAGAGCCAACAGCAGACTTAAGAACGGACACTGGGCAGAGAGGCCCTCATCTCCCTTCCTGATGCAAACTAGTGGCAACTTCTAACCAACTCCTTTCTCTGTTTCATACTGTGTGAGCTTTACCTTCACACTCACCACAGCTCAGCAGGAGAACAGAGTCCACAGGCAGCTGATGTGGACAAAGCTATTAGTCACTGGGAAGGTCAGAAGGAAATATGCTGATCTGGCTCATTCTCTCTCTTTTGGAGGCAAGACTGTCAGAGCTAAATATGCAACAAGAGCATCCAGACTAGTTACCCTAGTAAAGCAGCAGCACATCTCTTAAGAGAGAACACCACAGAAATAACAACAGGAGTAACTGCAACCTGGGGTGGGTGGGAGCGGCAGGCAGCTTCAGAGGACTGGTCAGTATGTACAATGGCAAAGTGACAGCAGATCAGAATTAAACAGTGCTGATGGAAGACTGAGGTTCAAAATGGAAAGTCCAACTTCTAACATACACCCTATAAAGTTTACTCCTGAATTTTTAACAAGACTATTAACTCATCTGTGCTATAGCCAGGTTTCTAGTCCTCTAGCTCAGTGTTTCTTAACCTTTTTGAAAGAAACGCCCCCTTGAGCCATTGAGGAAGTTATCATCGCCCCCCTCCCCGCGGCGATGATATCTTTCTTATTTATTTA